ACGGCTTCCCTCCCCGCGGCCCCCGATAAGCGGTTTCTTCCCTTGTTTCGCTTTCTTTTGCCCGCCCCGGTCTTTGGTGCTTGTTGTCGTGAAGGAAGTCTCGGCAGAAAGCTGCGAAAGCGCTTGCTGATGCCCTTCCTCGTTGGAAAGTCTCCTTGTCCTTAGTGTTGAGGGATTGTTGAGAGAGGGTGCTGCTGATGATAAGCGTTTCATAAATATTTGCCTTAATGGGCACGGCACCCAAATGGATGGGGTGTCGTCTGTCCCAAGTATTTTCTGATAGTGGAAACAGCAGTAATGTGGTATTAAATATAGCCTGTATCGTGTCACGTGAGGGATCTTCATGAGAAGATCTTGGTACCTACCCAAGGCAAGCGAGGGGTAAGAAACCAGGTCTGGTTAGTGGCCGCGTGCCGCTGCATCTGTGGCCTCACTGGCTGCACCTCCTTGTCCGTCGGCCTCTGTTTCTTCACTGATGGCGACACGTGTAATTTTGGGAGTCAATTGGCGGTTGGACATGAGGTTATGCGGCATCTCCTTAAGCCATACAAGGCAAAGCAAACGTGAGATTTCCCAACACCATCTTTTAGGCTTCTACAAACTTTCCAGTTAAAAATGTGTGTGTGTGTATATATATATTGCTTTAACCCATGAATAGCTCAAAAGTAGTGAAGACAGTTTTTGTCCATTTTACTTCATGAAGAAATAACCTTGGATCTGAGATGCAAACTGAAAAAGTCCCAGTTCTGACTAGAAACTCCAAACAGGTTGTGCATGGGTTTGTCTCATGAGTGAGTATTATATGTGGCACCATTATTTGTGTTTCTTGATTCCAGTTCCAGGCTAACTTTTGAAGGGCAGAACATTTACCTGGAAGCAGGGTCTGGAATGAAAATCAGAAGGACAATCGAAATTTTAACGATATTCTGCCTTGATCAGTTCTGCCACAATAGCACTGTGCTGCTCGGCATGGCTACATCTGCTTTATACCTCTGATGCTGCCTTCCCATGGCTCACTCAGCTTCTGCCTATCCAAACATAAAGGTCTCCTAAACTTTAAGTTTTATTTTGTTGTTGTTGTTTCACTTGCTCCAGCACACATTTTTTTTCCTTAAGGCTGTTTTACCTGTGAGCCTTTCTATTTTTTGCTAACTGCTTTTTCAGCATTGTCTTTAGGGAAACCTCTTTCTCATTTCCTGCCCTCTTTGCAGAATCTCCCCCAGACTCTGTTGTTCTTCTCTGCCTATCAGATGAATTCACTGGCTCTCACGGTCTCTCAGCACTTTTTGCTGAAGATGCTGAAATTCAGCTGCGCTTTTTTTCTCTTATTTCCTTCTCCCTTTTTCTGATCATTCCTTGCCTCTCCACTTCTCTAAACTATAAACACAGCAAAAAGTGAGATCTTCAGCTTTCTCGCCAGCCTTCCTCATTGTCTCCAGTGATAATGCTGTCACTTGGTCATCCAGTGACTCTTCTGTCTGGCCTAGGTACAGGAGGGATGAAGCAACCTTCACGTCACCGGCTCCATTGTATGGGGGAGAGAGAGTGGTGAGGGGAAAAAAGCTTAAGTGAGCAACAGCGGGAGGGGAAAG